GACATTTGTTAAGTTGCTAGGGAATTCTGATTAAGGACCGTGATCTTACTCAACGGGTCAAGTAGTGGTCAGTAATGGACCTGTGTGGAATTGGGCCCATTTCGGTAATTAAATCCAATCTAGGTTTCAGTAGAGAGATACAAATCAAAGCATCCCTCAGTGTTCCTAGCTGAATTGCTTTGAGGATAAACCTCAGTGAAAGAGGTTTAAATGAGTATGAATGGCTCCACCATTGAAATAATACTGGCTTGTTTTTGGCAAAAGTCAAGACAGGAAAAACACATATTGTTATTAAAATGATGATTATAGCAGCCAAGCATAGAGGCAGTGCATACTCTATCATCTAGAGGGTTAGTTGTGGCTCATTTTCTTCAATAGCAGCTGGCATAAAGCTAGAGTTGAGGAATACTCCTGAGCTAACCTTTGATACCCAATTGTTATTATATTATATATTGATTTAATGAAGCATTTGGTATTCCCACTCATTGTTCATTCCAAGAGTGGCTCAGTACAGAATCTTAAAACCAGATAATTAAATTGTGATGATGAAATGTTAACAGTCTAGTTAAACATAGATTTTTCAAATAATAAAAAAAACTTTTATTTATGCCAATGAAAGAGTTTTGGTACCAAGTAAATATTCCAATGAAAGAGTTTTGGTACCAAGTAAATATTTTTGGGTAAAGGAGTTCCAGAGTCAAGTTTCTATCCCAGAAAAAAAGACAGGTAGGTATCCCTTAAGTTTTATTTTCTTTGTGTTGTAGCAACATGTATGTGTCCTGATTCTAGATTACACCTTTTTGGAAATAATTTCTTTCTCTTAGATATGAATCCTAGTGAGAAAATTGATCAGATGTGAACAAATTTATTAAGCTTCAGAGTTTAAGATTGGTTTTCTTTGCCTTTTGGGTTTTTGGCTGTCCTAGAAATTTAGAGAAGGGTTCTTGAAATTTAATAGAAAAGAAATCCACTATTTTCTCCAATATCTTCTTTTTTTTTTTATAGTATATATATTTTATTATGTTTTCATTCTATACAATCACATATTCACTGTGCTTAATCAGGGCATA